AAAAAAAAAAAAAAAAGAGTTGCATGCTCCCCACTGGCACTCCTCTACATACACTTTAATCTTTTCCTTAAGCATCATTCATTCTGCAATCCTATAACACTTGATAAGTATCAAATTTATCAACGTAGTAATGTAATGTTTCATTTCTTGTCTTTACCTTCATCACACCGTAAACACTCTAAGGGCAGGGCCATGTCCTATTAATCTTTGTATCCCTCATCCTGTTATTCCCTGATGTACAAGTGCTGGCTTAAGAAATTAATGGGTGAAATTGTCATAGCTACTTTTTAACTCTGAGATGGCTTCCTTATGACTCAATATGCGTCAGAGGTATGTACTGCCTCATATCAGTTAATGTACATTCAGAAAACATAAAGGGACTTCTTAAAAAAAAGTTTACTAATTTAAGCAATCTCTAAGCCCAATGTAGGGCTTGAACCCATGACCCCGAGATCAAGAGCTGCATGCTCTACCAACTGAGCCAGTCAGACACCCCAGTGAGGCTTTTATTTTATTTTTTTAAGATTTTATTTATTTATTGAATGAGAGAGAGAAAGCACATGAGAGGGGGGAGGGTCAGAGGGAGAAGCAGACTCCCCGCGGAGCAGGGAGCCCGATGTGGGACTCGATCCCGGGACTCCAGGATCATGACCTGAGCCGAAGGCAGTGGCTTAACCAACTGAGCCACCCAGGCGCCCCACCCCAGTGAGGCTTTTAATATTGTCCCAAGTCAAGCTCAATTAGAAAGGGAAATTTTTGGGGCACCTGGGTGGCTCAGTCAATTGAGTGTCAGACTTGACTTCAGCTCAGGTCATGATCTTGCGGTTGTGGGATCATGGGATCAAGCCCTGCTTGCTGTCCCTCTCTTTCCCCCTCTGCTCCTCCACACTGTGCTCTCTCTCTCTCAAATAAGTAAATAAAATCTTAAAAACAGAAAAAAAAAAAAAAGAAAGAGGGAAATTTTCATGGAGAAAAAAAATATTCTAAAGCCAAACAAATCTTGTTTTTGTACTGGCCACAACACTGTTCTCCAATCACCATGAATAATTCAGGGCTTTACAGAATGCTGTTTTTTTTTTTTTTAAGATTTTATTTATTTATTTGACAGAGAGAGAGACAGCACAAGCAGGAGGAGCAGCAGCAGTACAGGGAGAAAGCACGCTCGCCGCTGAGCAGGAAGCCCGACAAGGGGCTTGATCCCAGGTCCCTGGGATCATGACCTGAGCCGAAAGCATACACCCAACCATCTGAGCCACTCGGCACCCCTAGAATGTTATATATATTTTTTAAAGATACCAATGACACTGAATCACAAGATTGAGACAGATCAGAAGAAGTACCTTGATAAATAGAGAAAATTCAGTTTTGATTCAGCTCCTATTAAAAAAAAGTCTTAACTTCAATTAAAATATATTCTGGGTGTATAAAAAGAACCAGACCTGAAGGATGACCAGAATTTCGGCATTCTTTTTCTCCAGGGCTATGTCAAAGGCAGATTTATCAAACTTGCTGAAAGCATGGACATCGGCTCCGTATTTGAGCAGTAGCTCTACAACATCTCGATGGTGGTGTTCTGTAGCCCAATGTAAAGCTGTCATCTTCAGCATGTCCTTGGCATTCACATCTGCACCATTCTGTCACAGAACAGTAATTTTTTTCAAAGAGACACTGGTAATGGTAGCACAGATGCAAGATCCCATCAGCCATATAAAGAGAATTTCCATGGAGGTTATACATATTCAAATTTAGATCACATAGAAATATCAAAGGGAAAAACATTCTTCAAATTTTCCTGAATGATGACAGTCATATTGTCTTCAATGAGTGGGTCTTCTAAGGACAACTGGGAAATATAACAGATGGGAAAGGATGGGGAAAAGAACAGATTTTTGTTGCATTTATTAACAGAGAGCTGAGTGCCTACAAAAATAGGCTTAAGTACAGAAAACACCTGCAGAAAGGAAATGAAGAAAAATCAATAAAGTCTGCTTAGCCTGTAAAAGATTAGAAAACAAAATCCTCATTGCCATGTCTCTTGAAAGAGACACAAATCTATGCTACGAACTGTCCTAAACTTAATCTTTCCCAGCCTAGTTTCCTACTACCCGTTGAAGTAAGAAAACAGGGAGGTGGGTGTCTTTTTTACAATACAGATCTGCCACTATTACCCTAACAAGCAGTTCCACGATGTGCGCATGTCCATCAGCTGCAGCCATGTGCAAAGGGGTCCTGTCCACTTTGGTCCGGGCATCCCTGCTAACGCCTGCTCGAAGGAGCACTTCTGCTGTGGAATAATGACCATACTGGGCTGCAAGGTGGAGGGGTGATGTTCCAAGCTGTGGGAAAATAATACTCATTGAATATCAACTGTGTGCAGAGTCCTAAATCATTATGGAGAGACACAAATGAACAAGAGGTACAGTCTATGGTTCCTGTCTTTGGAGTGAGAATCTGGTTGTGCAACAGGAGAGGAGTAAAGAATTAAGAAATTAATATTCTAACAGGCAAGTAAATATACGACCAATTAATTAAGTGCTAAGTATAATGGATTTAAGTCAGATGGATTTATCAGGAAAGATTCTCTAAATGACATGATGTTAAGCAAAGCTTAGAAGAAGGTAAAAAAAAAAAAAAGGATGAACAAGAACATTCTGCATTGGAAAGGGATAGGTGGGTTCAATATAATTCTTAGGAAAAGGGCAGAAACTAGAAAGATACTGAGATTTGGTGTGCAAATTTAACTGGCTGGAATAGAAGTCTGTTGCCAAGTAATGCAAAGTAAAAAGACTGATGAGATGAAGAGGCAATAAAGTTTTAGCAATGGCGTGTCAATAGCAATAAGCAGCCTGGATCATCTCAAAGTAAATCCTGGAAGAGTGATCTATCTTTGGCCACTTTGGCCAGAGAACTATTCCTTTCTTTGTGTTAGGTCCTTTACTTTAAGCCTATGCTGTTTATTCTTTGCATTTCATATATGTTCAGCCTCTTTGCCTGAGTGGATTTAGTTCACATTGCTCTTTTCAGGTCTATTAATAGAAATGCTAATCTCATAGGTTTCCTTTTCTTCCTTTTTGTGAAGTGCTAAGTACCTGCTTGCCTCTAAAGTTATGAATTAATCACCCCAGGATAGAGGACATTGGCTCATTGGATTGTTAAAATTAGGCAATGCTGGGGCGCCTGGTTGGCTCAGTCAGTAGAGCATGTGACTCTTGATCTCGGGGGTTGTGAGTTTGAGCCCCACACTGGGTGGAGGGATTACTTAAAAATAAAATCTTTGAAAAAAAACAAAAAGTAAGAAATTGGTAACAGCACACGTTGGGAATAACTGAAAGAGCTTACCCAGTCTGTGGTGAAGGGAGCGCCATTTGCCATCAATGTCCTCACTTCATCATCTTGGCCTTTTCTTGCTGCTTCTAGCAACCTCTTCCCCAAGTCCACCAAAGACATCTTTATGCATAGGAACAAATATTTTCAGGAAGCTATAACTCAAACACAAGGAAAGCTGCCTATAAAATGTTTTTAGAAGACCTCTTGTACTTAAATATATGTAAGATACTTCTCAAGCTGACTATCCAGCAGGGCACATCCTTTCTACCTCATCTAACACAATCAGATATTTGGGAAAGTTTCAGGCCCTAAACAATAGTTCCTTAATGTTCAATTTTCAGAAAAATACTTTGGAAATCTGTGCAACACATTACCACCTCTCTAACTTAAGGAATCAATAAAACAGCATTTCATTCCTTAGAAACAACTATGGGTAGAAATGTTATCTCACACAAAAGAATGATGAACAAACACCAAGGCTATTCAGACTCAGGTATATGGCAGACACTTTTTAAAAAATGAACAAAGTGAGCCTGTCACTTCAAGGAAAACAACTGACAGTGTTTACTGACAATTATTAATTATAATTTGAGCTTTCAAGCAAAATTAGAATTTTGGGAAACTTAAATCCACAACTATGGGTTGATAGCTTACTACAGACTTTTCTGATGAAATTAGTGGTAATACTAATGAATGTGATTTTTTAACATTGTATAATAAAATGCATCAACATTTGGGTGGCCTGCATAATTTGCTTAACCAGTATTTTTCAAATGACCAATGCATGCTATAAAATCATGTATGGGTAAAAGCAATCAAAGTGAAAGACAGATCAGTGCATTTTAAGGTAACAGTATAATAATTTCATTGATACGGTTTCAGATTCCTCACTGCAACTAACTTTTAAGAAACTGCCACTTTGTCCAGTGTTTGTGTAGTAGCATCAAAGAAGAACACCCACAGGGCGCCTGAGGGGCTCAGTCGTTAAGCATCTGCCTTCGGCTCAGGTCATGATCCCAGGGTCCTGGGATCGAGTCCCATATCGGGCTCCCTGCTCCGCGGGAAGCCTGTTCTCCCTCTCCCACTCCCCCTGCTTGTGTTCCCTCTCTTGCTGTCTCTCTGTCAAATAAAAAACAAAACACCCACAATTACCTGAAAAAGCTATTAAAGCACCACCCCCCTTTTCTCCAAGTAAATATTGCAACAGATTAAATGCAATAGTAAATATGAGAATGCAGCTGTTTTCTATTAAGCCAGAAGTGAAAGAGATTTGCAAAAATAAAAAACAATGCCATTCCTCTCATTATTTAACTTGGAAGATATATTTTTCATAAAAATGTGTTTGAGGAATGCCTTGGTGGCTTAGTCAGTTAAGTGTCTGCCTTTGGCTCAGGTCATGATCCCAGGGTCCTGGGATCGAGCCCCGCGTCAGGCTCTCTGCTCAGCGGGAAGCCTGCTTCTCCCTCTGCCTGCCGCTCCACCTGCTTGTGCTTCTCTCTCTCCCTCTCTCTGTCAAATAAATAAACA